AGAAGAGACATGAAGAAGAGGGGACACATGTTGATGAAGAATAGACCAAGGAGACATGAAGGAGAGGGGACACATGTTGATGTAGAAGAGACATGAAGAGAGGGGACACATGTTGATGTGGAAGAGACATGAAGAAGAGGGGGACACATGTTGATGTAGAAGAGACATGAAGAAGAGGGGACACATGTTTGATGTAGAAGAGACATGAAGGAGAGGGGACACATGTTGATGTAGAAGAGACATGAAGAAGAGGGGGACACATGTTGATGTAGAAGAAGACATGAAGAAGAGGGGACACATGTTGATGTAGAAGAGACATGAAGAAGAGGGGACACATGTTGATGTAGAAGAGACATGAAGAAGAGGGGACACATGTTGATGTAGAAGAGACATGAAGAAGAGGGGACACATGTTGATGTAGAAGAGACATGAAGAAGAGGGGACACATGTTGATGTAGAAGAGACATGAAGAAGAGGGGGACACATGTTGATGTAGAAAGAGACATGAAGAAGAGGGGACACATGTTGATGTAGAAGAGACATGAAGAAGAGGGGACACATGTTGATGTAGAAGAGACATAAGAAGAGGGGACACATGTTGATGTAGAAGAGACATGAAGAAGAGGGGACACATGTTGATGTAAGAAGAGACAAGAAGAGGGGACACATGTTGATGTAGAAGAGACATGAAGAAGAGGGGACACATGTGATGTAGAAGAGACATGAAGAAGAGGGGACACATGTTGATGTAGAAGAGACATGAAGAAGAGGGGACACATGTGATGTAGAAGAGACATGAAGGAAGAGGGGGACACATGTTGATGTAGAAGAGACATGAAGAAGAGGGGACACATGTTGATGTAGAAGAGACATGAAGAAGAGGGGACACATGTTGATGTAGAAGAGACATGAAGAAGAGGGGACACATGTTGATGTAGAAGAGACATGAAGAAGAGGGGACACATGTTGATGTAGAAGAGACATGAAGAAGAGGGGACACATGTTGATGTAAGAAGAGACATGGAGAAGAGGGGACACACTTGTTGATGAAGAAGAGACATGAAGGAAGAGGGGACACATGTTGATGTAGAAGAGACATGAAGAAGAGGGGACACATGTTGATGTAGAAGAGACATGAAGAAGAGGGGAACATATTGATGTTAGAAGAGACATGAAGAAGAGGGGACACATGTTGATGTAGAAGAGACATGAAGAAGAGGGGACACATGTTGATGTGGAAGAGACATGAAGAAGAGGGGACACATGTTGATGAAGAAGAGACATGAAGAGAGGGGACCATGTTGATGTGGAAGAGACCATGAAGAAGAGGAGACACAGTGTTGATGTAGAAGAGACATGAAGAAGAGGGACACATATTTGATGTAGAAGAGACATGAGAAGAGGGGACACATGTTGATGTAGAAGAAGACATGAAGGAGAGGGGATAGAGGAGGACATATGTTGATGTAGAAGAGACATGAAGAAGAGGGGACACATGTTGATGTAGAAGAGACATGAAGAGAGGGACACATGTTGATGAAGAAGAGACATGAAGAAGAGGGACACATGTTGATGTGAAGAGAACATGAAGAAGAGGGGACACATGTTGATGTAGAAGAGACATGAAGAAGAGGGGACACATGTTGATGTAGAACGAGACATGAAGAAGAAGAGGGGACACATGTTGATGTAGAAGAGACAGAAGAAGAGGGGACACAGCTGATGGGAAGAGACATGAAGAAGAGGGGACACGTGTTGATGTAGAAGAGACATGAAGAAGGAGGGGACACATGTTGATGTAGAAGAGACATGAAGAAGATGGGGACACATGTTGATGTAGAAGAGACATGAAGAAGAGGGGACACATGCTGATGTAGAAAGAGACATGAAGGAGAGGGGACACATGTTGATGTGGAAGAGACATGAAGAGAGGGGACACATGTTGATGTGAAGAGACATGAAGAAGAGGGGACACATGTTGATGAAGAAGAGACATGAAAGACGGGGACACCTGTTGATGTTAGAAGAGACATGAAGACCCCCGGGGACACATGTTGATGTAGAAGAGACATGAAGAAGACGCGACATGAAGACACATGTTGATGTAGAAGAGACATGAAGGAGAGGGGACACATGTTGATGTAGAAGAGACATGAAGAAGAGGGGACACATGTTGATGTAGAAGAGACATGAAGAAGAGGGGACACATGTTGATGTAGAAGAGACATGAAGAAGAGGGGACACATGTTGATGTAGAAGAGACATGAAGAAGAGGGGACACATGTTGATGTAGAAGAGACATGAAGAAGAGGGGACACATGTTGATGTAGAAGAGACATGGAGAAGAGGGGACACATGTTGATGTAAGAAGAGACATGAAGAAGAGGGGGACACATGTTGATGTAGAAGAGACATGGAGAAGAGGGGGACACATGTTGATGTAGAAGAGACATGAAGAAGAGGGGACACATGTTGATGTAGAAGAGACATGAAGAAGAGGGGACACATGTTGATGTAGAAGAGACATGAAGAAGAGGGGACACATGTTGATGTAGAAGAGACATGAAGAAGAGGGGACACATGTTGATGAAGAAGAGACATGAAGAAGAGGGGACACATGTTGATGTAGAAGAGACATGAAGAAGAGGGGACACATGTTGATGTAAGAAGAGACATGAAGAAGAGGGGACACATGTTGATGTAGAAGAGACATGAAGAAGAGGGGACACATGTTGATGTAGAAGAGACATGAAGAAGAGGGGACACATGTTGATGTAGAAGAGACATGAAGAAGAGGGGACACATGTTGATGTAGAAGAGACATGAAGAAGAGGGGACACATGTTGATGTAGAAGAGACATGAAGAAGAGGGGACACATGTTGATGTAGAAGAGACATGAAGAGACATGAAGAAGAGGGGACACATGTTGATGTAGAAGAGACATGAAGAAGAGGGGACACATGTTGATGTAGAAGAGACATGAAGAAGAGGGGACACATGTTGATGTAGAAGAGACATGAAGAAGAGGGGACACATGTTGATGTAGAAGAGACATGAAGAAGAGGGGACACATGTTGATGTAGAAGAGACATGAAGAAGAGGGGACACATGTTGATGTAGAAGAGACATGAAGAAGAGGGGACACATGTTGATGGAAGAGACATGAAGAAGAGGGGACACATGTTGATGTAGAAGAGACATGAAGAAGAGGGGACACATGTTGATGTAGAAGAGACATGAAGAAGAGGGACACATGTTGATGTAGAAGAGACATGAAGAAGAGGGGACACATGTTGATGTAGAGAGACATGAAGAAGAGGGGACACATGTGATGTAGAAGAGACATGAAGAAGAAGGGACACATGTTGATAGAAGAGACATGAAGAAGAGGGGACACATGTTGATGTAGAAGAGACATGAAGAAGAGGGGACACATGTTGATGAAGAAAGAGACATGAAGAAGAGAGGACACATGTTGATGTAGAAGAGACATGAAGAAGAGGGGACACATGTTGATGAGAAGAGACATGAAGAAGAGGGGACACATGTTGATGTAGAAGAGACATGAAGAAGAGGGGACACATGTTGATGAAGAAGAGACATGAAGAAGAGGGGACACATGTTGATGTAGAAGAGACATGAAGAAGAGGGGACACATGTTGATGTAGAAGAGACATGAAGAAGAGGGGGAACATGTTGATGTAGAAGAGACATGAAGAGAGGGGACACATGTTGATGTAGAAGAGACATGAAGAAAGAGGGGACACATGTTGATGTAGAAGAGACATGAAGAAGAGGGGACACATGTTGATGTAGAAGAGACATGAAGAAGAGGGGACACATGTTGATAGAAGAGACATGAAGAAGAGGGGACACATGTTGATGAAGAAGAGACATGAAGAAGAGGGGACACATGTTGATAGAAGAGACATGAAGAAGAGGGGACACATGTTGATGTAGAAGAGACATGAAGAAGAGGGGACCACATGTTGATGAAGAAGAGACATGAAGAAGAGGGGACACATGTTGATGAAGAAGAGACATGAAGAAGAGGGGGACACATGTTGATGTAGAAGAGACATGGAGAGCGGGGACACATGTTAGTGAAGAAGAGACATGAAGAAGAGGGGACACATGTTGATGTAGAAGAGCATGAAGAAGGGGAGACCATGTGATAGATAGAGAGATGAGACGAGGGGACAAATAGTTGTGATGTAGAAGAGACATGAAGAAGAGGGGACACATGTTGATGTGAGAGTACATGAGAAGAGGGGACACATGTTGATGATAGAGAAGAGACATGAAGAGAGGGGACACATGTTGAGTGTTAGAAGAGACATGAAGAAGAGGGGACACATGCTGATGTAGAAGAGACATGAAGAAGAGGGGACACATGTTGATGTAGAAGAGACATGGAGAAGAGGGGACACAGTATCTGGATCTCTGAACACACAAAGTGAAAGATTAACAAGAAAGTTGACGTTGAAACTACTTCTTGTTGCAGCTCCGTGCCTCGGACCCTCCTTCGTGGCACAGCTTCTGTTCTGATTATTATTACTATTATTTAAAGCAGTATTTTGTACCTTCAAATGATCGAGTCAGACACTCTGTCCAGATGTATTCCTCTGTCCATTGTCAGAAGAGCGTTGACGTGTAAAGCCCCAACAGACTGGAGTACTTGACCTGCTGCTCATCAGTGGGTTCGTTTCAGCAGCATCATCTCACTTCCAGCTGCTCTTGTTATTGATCAAACTGATCTGAGACCCTGTCCATCACATTGTGAGGATTGTAGTCTGACTCCATGAATGCTACGTGACAGACGGTACGTGGTTTGTCGTGCTTTGCTTTCTGGTATTTTCTTCATGTCTGTCTGTGAGACGTGGCTTTTGTCGGGACCCCCTTGAAAACCAGATGGTGCGTCTCGAGGGCTTTATCCGAATAAATACATTTCTATGTAATAATTATATATTTTATATAATTGCGTGTTGTGGCTCCATACCTCCGGGCAGAGCCTCCATCGCGGCCCGGGCAGAGTCCTGGTCCCTGGAGAGGACCACCACCCTGCAGCCCCTCTCTGCCAGCAGCAGGGCCACGGCCCCCCCGATGCCTCTGGAGCCCCCGCACACCACCGCCAGCCGGGACATCGTGGAGAGAAACACCCCCTGGAGGAGAAACCAGTAAACAACAACACAGCGAGTGTATAACAACTGCACCTTGTTGTCAGAGACCAGAGGCCTGTACTACAAAGCCGGTTCAACCTAACCTGGATATGTTTGAGTTAGCCGGTTGGCCTAATCCAAAACATACGCGCTCTCGCTAAGCGGTCCTACGACGAGGGTTATCAAGTGGTTCGCTCAAGCCAGCCGTGTCCTATCTAGTTAGGTGTTCACATGAGAGGGGTGGTATCTGGAGCATTCGACCAATCACAGACATGGAGAAGCGCACTGACAGCGCAGCGTCACACTTCCTGAATGAAAAGTGAACTATAATATTAGACATATGAAGAAGTTAAAGTTTAAACATCCATGACTTAAACACTTGATCCAGGATCAAAGCCACAGAGCTGCACCTGCAAGGTGAATACAGCTGGGAACAGAACAAGTGTTTGAATGCGTACATTAACAGCTTTATGATATCACTGCCCGTCTAAGACACCATCTGACTTTCATTACATTTGACTCCAGTGTTTCCTCAACTTAATGTGTTGCTTCAAATAATGCTTCTGCATCCAGTCTGTGACGCTGTGAGTGTTGCACGGCCAGATACGGCTCAGCTGACTCAGATCAGGAGATGATACATTATGAAGTGATATGGACTGTACTTAATGTGACTCTGATCCGGTTACTTATGTTGTGGCAGATATTTCAGTAAGCTTTCTTAACGCTAATGTTATAATAGTCAGATTGCTCTGAAGATGGAGCTGATATTCTATTCATGTTCACGTTCACACAGTCGCTGATTGTTGCCGGCCGTCTTTCCTGCGACGGCAGCTTTTCTGTATTTCCTTTCTCCTGTAATATGACTTGATCGCTTTAAACTCCGCACACTGAGCTCTGATTGGTCAGCAGGCGGTGCTTTCACTGAGTTGAGCTCTTAGCCTGCAACCTAACCTGCTCCGGAGCAGGTTAGCCGCTCAGCATCAGTTACCATGGAGATCTAGCCGCTAAGAAGAGAACCAGCTTCGTAGGACCGGAAACCCAGAGTTAACCTGAAGTTAGCCGCGAAGAGAACATCAGGCTTCGTAGTGCAGGCCTCTGGACTCCTCCAACAATGCAACATAGGCCTATAATAAAATACAAAAATAAAAAATAGTGCAAGAAGTCTATATAAATGTAATTATAAAACGGACAAGTCAAATCAAGCAATCTGATTGGTTCTTAGCCGTGATATACTGAACGTATACCACGGGTAGAATTGTAAGTTACTTTTCACAACAAGTCAGTATCCCTCCGCGTCTGAGAAAAACAGTATACGGTTGGAAACGTTCAAACTGGAACAAGAAAGCAGCGGAGGGTTAACATTTGCTGTTCACAATTGTTACACTTACTAAGGAGGTTGTATCTGCATGATGTGGGTACTGAGACACCTTGAAGAAGGAGAGATGATTCAGGTAGGGAAGTTATTGCCAATTTCATTGGCAGATGGAGCTCAGGGGTGGGGAGGGAGGGGGTCTAGGGCATGGGAGGAGGTGGGAAGGAGTAGAGGATGGGAGGGAGAGGGTGGGGACATTTATCTTGATGGGGCTACAGGTTTCCATTTGTTTGAGGCAGCTGTTTACATTCTGTTTTGTCATCTTTATGTACACTGTTCTCTCCATTTTTAGTTGTGGATGTTCTAAGGCTGATCTTACACCTTCGATGCTGTATGCAGTGTCATGGCTAATATAACTGGTACAGGACAGGCGGTCAGGATACTCTCTTTGAACACTGGTGGGTTGAATGCTTCGGTGAAACGCACAAAGATTATGACACATCTTAAAAACCTGAAGGCGGATATAATGTTTAATACAAGAGACACATCTCTGTAAATCTGATCAGCGAAAGCTGAATAGGCCGTGGATTGGACAAATGTTTCATTCACAATTTAACCTAAAGACAAGGGGCACAGCCATTTTAATTCGGAAAAAAGTAAATTTCACCCCTACTAATACAATTTTAGATCCAAATGGACGTTATGTCATCATTTCTGGTACTCTCTATCAGAAGCCGGTCATCTTAGTTTCTGTGTATGCTCCCAATTGGGATGATCATAATTTTGTGAAATCGCTATTCTCCACCATCCCCAATTTGAATTCCCACCTATTGATACTGGGAGGAGATATGAATTGTGTTATAGACCCAACACTAGACAGATCTAGTTCCAGAACTGTGGCGCCCTCTAAAACGGCACAGACTCTCTCTGCTTTTATGGACCACTATGGCTACGTCGACCCGTGGAGATTTTTACACCCCTCGGCTAGGCAATACTCTTTCTTTTCCCATGCACATCGTTCATACTCTCGCATAGATTATTTTATTGTTGATAAAACATTTATTTCGTCGATTGTCTCCGTTCAATACTCACCGATAACTGTATCAGATCATTCAACTGTGATCCTGGACCTTCACTTTGATCATAAGCCTAAGGAATTTAGATTCTGGCGTCTTGACCCTCTTTTACTTTCTGATGCAGCCTTTTGTGAGTGTATTTCGGAATCAATTGCATTCTTCTGTGAGACCAACCAAAATGAAGAGACCTCTGCGTCCCTACTCTGGGAAACCCTTAAAGCTTTTCTTAGGGGTAAGATCATCTCGCATACGTCTCATGTTAATAAACTTCGTAGAGCACGCCAAAGAGAACTGGAAGAATCTATCATTAATCTAGACAACCAACTATTTTCCACTCAATCACCTGATCTATCTAAAGAACGGATGGGGCTCCAAACAGAACTTGACCTTCTCCTAACAAGAGAGGCTGAACGACTCCTTCTACACTCACGAGGGTCTATATATGAACATGGCGATAAAGCTGGCCGTCTCCTGGCCCACCAACTAAAGGCTAGGGTGGCCTCGAACCAAATCACCCAGATACGGGACGGGTTGGGCTCTCTCACTTCTGACCCGGGAGAGATTAATAACATCTTTAAAACCTACTACTCTCGTCTCTACACGTCTGAATCCCCTGATAACGAAGATCAGCTACATACATTTTTGGATAAATTGGATATGCCCAAGATTTCGACTAACGACCAACAGACACTAGATGCCAACCTGCAGCTTGCTGAGATTAAAGAGGCAATACAGTCCATGAATAGTGGCAAATCACCGGGACCTGACGGATACCCGGTAGAATTCTACAAAAAATTCTCAAATCAACTTTCCCCATTATTATTAGATATGTTTAATTCGTCGTACGTCCAAGGCTCACTGCCGCCTACCCTTATGCAAGCCTCTATCTCTCTGATCTTTAAGAAGGGTAAGGACCCGTTGAGCTGTGCATCATATCGCCCAATCTCGCTCCTGTCTGTAGATGTGAAAATACTTGCGAAGATTTTTGCTCGCCGGTTGGAATCTATTATACCCTCCATCATTTCGGAAGATCAGACAGGATTCATAGGGGGGAGGCACTCCTTCACAAATGTCCGAAGACTTCTCAGCGTCATCCACAGCCCGCCTTCTCCTGCTGAACCGGAGGTTGTCATATCTCTTGATGCTGAGAAGGCCTTCGACAGGGTTGAGTGGGCCTATCTGTTTTCTGTCCTTCAACAGCTGGGCTTTGGTCCAGGCCTCGTCTCCTGGGTTAGACTTCTGTACTCTTCTCCTCACTCCTCTGTATGTACGAACACCCAGCGCTCCAAATTCTTTCCTCTTTTTCGCGGGACGCGTCAGGGGTGTCCGCTCTCCCCACTACTATTTGCAATTGCTATCGAGCCATTGTCGATTGCTCTAAAAGCAGAGAGAGGAATTAAGGGGATTCAGAGAGGGGATATCGAACACAGGGTCTCGTTATATGCTGACGACCTCCTTCTGTATGTGCGCGATCCTATAGCTAGTACTCCACACATTCTCTCACTTTTGACCACTTTTGGTTCATTTTCAGGATACAAATTAAACATCCAAAAGAGTGAATGTTTCCCTATCAACCAATTGGCTACAGAATTACCTCCGTTGTCGTTGCCTTTTAGAATATCCAACTCAGGGTTTAAATATCTGGGCATTGCAATCACGCAGTCTTTTAGTGCGCTACGGGAACAAAATCTTACTGTCCTGACGGCAACAGTCAAATCTGACCTGCAGAGGTGGGGCCATCTGGCACTCTCTTTAGCAGGAAGAGTTCAGACAATACAAATGAATGTACTGCCCAGATATCTATACATGTTCCAATGCCTACCTATTTTTTTGCCTAAATCTTTTTTCACTGCTATTGATAATATTATTTCCTCATTTATTTGGGCTGGTAAACATGCAAGAGCTAGTAGACCATTACTGCAGAGGGACAGGTTCCTGGGTGGGCTTGGTTTACCTAACCTTATGGGTTACTACTGGGCCACAAACACACACAAGATCATGCTCTGGTTCACTTCACCCCAGAGTGACTGGTGTCTTGTGGAGGCCAACTCATGTCGATCCACGTCACTTCAAGCCCTCGCGTGTAGCACTCTGCCCCTTTCCCCCTCACAATTCACATCTAACCCCGTTGTAATTGGCACTTTAAAGATCTGGGCACAAGTTAGACGTCACTTTGGTTGGCTTACTCTTCCTCAAGCAACTCCTGTCTGTAACAACCATCTATTTTTACCAGCCACAATTGACCCCCGATTTTCTCACTTGAAGAGGGAAGGCCTCCGCTGCATAGGGGAGTTATACATTGATAGCCTGTTTGCCAGTTTTGACCAACTACGGGTTGCCTTTAATCTAAGAGGATCTGATTTCTTTAGATACTTTCAACTAAGGGATTTTGCTAAGACCCACTCTCCACAATTCCCTCAATCCCTGCCTCCCAGTGGAGTGGATCTTGTACTTAGAGCAAGAACTTTGTCTAGGCGCCATGTCTCTTACTTTTATGATCTTTTTTCTCCGGGTGATGAATCTGCCATTAACAAGATTAGAACTAATTGGGAAAAGGAACTACAGTTCACCTTCTCTGATGACTTTTGGAAGAAGGCCCTGAGAGCCGTTAACTCATCCTCCAGTTGCGCTAGACTCAGCCTAATACAGTTTAAAGTTCTCCATAGACTACATTATAGCAAGGCTAAGCTCTCCAGGATTTATCCAGATAGATTGGATGACCGGTGTGATAGATGCTCCCAGGCCCCCTGCGACCTGACTCACATGTTCTGGTCGTGCCCTAAATTATCTAGCTTCTGGCAATCTTTCTTCGAATGTATTTCTGAAATTGTAGGTCTAAAAATCTCTCCATCCCCTCATGTAGCTGTTTTCGGTCGGCCCCCAGATGGAATCAACTTTACAAACACTCAAACCAATGTCATCGCCTTTACCTCCTTGATTGCTCGTAGGAAAATCCTTCTTTTGTGGAAATCTCCTTTACCTCCCTCTTTTCAAATGTGGCTGAGTGATACTATGTCTCTTCTAAAGTTGGAAAAAATTAAGTTTACTCTCCGGGGTTCCTCAGATAAGTTTTACGCTCATTGGAGGCCACTGATCAGCTATGTAGACCGTCTTCCCCCTGATATGGTGTCGCTGTAGGGATTCTCCCTTTATTTATCCGTCTATAATTCTGATATGATTACTCCCCTGTCCACCACATAGGCAGCCCATGTGACATCCCTGGATATGTGTTAGTATGTATGTATGTATATGTATATTATTGTATCTATCATTTTGTATTGTATTGATGTACTGTTGCCTCAGTGCTCCGGGAGAGGGGTGGTTGGGATGGGGCGGGGTTAAGGGAAAGTGAGTAAGGGTTCTTTTGGGAGGGAAAAAATGAAAATGCCTTAATTGCTGTAATACAATTCACTGTTACACTTTCTTTTCTTTTTTTACATGTGAATAAAAATATTAAAAAAAAAAGAAAAAGAAAGCAGCGGAGAAGCAACGGGGCAGAAACCCTCCTTGTTACGCAGCGGTCCAGACATAGACATCAAACGGCAAAACATATTCAGTGTGCAGTTCCTTTGGCTTTAGGGCAGGGGTCTCTAGATACTTTCCAAGGTTTGACATCATGAGTTGTGCTACTTTTAAAGCAAGCAACGATGTTTTCAAATCTGTAATCAAAGAGGTCCGCAAAAACACTATCGACCAATCAGATTGCTTGATTTGACTTGTCAGTGTTATAAATATATTTACATTTCTTCCGTTACGAAACAAACTTATAAAGCATAAGATGGAAGCATTTAAGATTAACTTGGACCTCCGGGGGGGTCTCACTATGGAGGAGTGGATTGAGGAGTGCCTATCTCCAGAAAGCCCCTAAAGGACGACATGCAGAGCTACGTGACGAGCAGACAGACCAACTGGAGAAGTTCCACCATTCAAAAGCTTTCTGATGCGGGTCTTGAACCAAAGCAGAGACATGATGAGCGTTAGTGGCCACAGGTGCAAAGCTCTCTCCAGAGCTACTGGAAGCCCAATCTCGGGGACCGGAGAAAGTGGAGCAATATTCTGACCACGCCGAGCAACAGAACAACCTCAACCTATACAAGTGACCTCGTAAGCATGCTGCTGATGCTGGACAGGTTTTCAGTGGCTGCACAATAAAAGGCAACAAACACATGAATGTGAATAAAGAGCCAAATAATGGATCAACGCTCTCTGTCTGATGTTCGCTAGCTGTTAGTGTTGTTGCCTAGCAACCACCTCGCACTATGTTTCGCGCAGAAGGCAACGGAGGGACTATTTTATTTTGAACATCATTATTTACTAATAAAAACTATTTAAATTAGAGTGTGTATTTTTCTTTCATATTGCCACACTTGGTAACCGTTTTATAAAAGCAATAGCTCACTTCAGGCCGTGATATATGCTCATTATATCACAGCCTGTCGTGAGCTATTGCTTAAATAGAATATGATATGTACAAGAACACAATATGAAATTGAATAATGTACATTAAGACACAATTAAATAAGGTTTATTGCGGTGATAACTATCTATATGAATAACAGGTAGATTGCAAGATGACAAACAGATGAATGTTTATCGAGAAAAAATATTTTAAAATATTCATATTATTTATTACACAGTATATAAAAAGATAAAAAATGCAAGAAAACTATATCTTCTCCCCAAAAAGTGCAGTTTCTCATGAACATGTTCAGAAGTTGGACTGAATCAAAAGAGGTGCGCTGCTGGTCCAGTGTTGTAATAAAATGCTTCATTGATCTGGAATCACTGTGAGTTAGGAGAGAAACGTGTACAAATACTGTAGAGAAACTACTAGTATTAAGAGAGTTAAGTACAATTAGTTAACGTTACTAATACTGGAGACACTCCGAGTACTGGTTGTGCTTAAGACACTCTAGCAGGTGTTATGTGGATTATAAATAGAGTTAAATTGCTTTATTATTACTAACCCTTATTTCCAGTGTTGTGTCCACGTGCTGACAGCTGTGTGTACTTCAGGCTCAGTCTGTAGTTTAGAGTTTCTGCAGCTGAGATTAAAAACTAAAGTGTATTCTGTAACCCACCTGTTTCAGACTGAAGTCACTGTTTCAGATTCCTCGCTGTTTCTTTGAGAAGAAGCTCCCTGAATGACAGAAGCGGAGAGTCAGAAGGGCGCCGCCATGTTTGTTTCCACTGTTGTTGTGATGACGCTGTGTGACCGACAGAGGGCGTTGTGGTCACACAGAGACACACCATACTGAGAGCTGACTCTAAAACAATCCCTCTCCTTCCGGTGGACCTCCATGGGACCTTATTTCTGAAAAAGTATGTATTGAAGTCAATGGAGAGAGAAAGAGTATCTTTCGATCCCGTTTGAATTGTGCCATGAATTACACATATGATGTTTTTCAATCTTAAAACATAATTTCCATGAAAAAATTTCCAAAAAAGTCACAGTTTGTCGTAAAACTGTTGAAATATAAGACTATGAAAAATACGCAACTAGACAGACTACAAATCCCAGAGTCCCGGTCCCGCATGCTGGCTCTTAGGAACCGACTAACTCCCCTTGTGTGTGTGCACAGCTCTCAACGTGCCCAGACTTGGAGTGATTTTCACCTCTTTTAATACTTTCCGCCTCGTTCTGAACGAAAGAAGTGAAATGTTCAACGTGACGGCCGTCTTGGTGTGTGGTGCGAGATGGGAGATGTAGTTCATTGAGCGGTTTCACACAAACAAAGTGTTACTTCACAGTTTGACTTACAAAATTATCTTTTAAATTGACAAACATCATGTGTGTAATTCGTGGCACAATTCCAACGGGATCGAAAGATAATATTTCTCTCTCCATTGACTTCAATACATACTTTTTTCGAAATAAGGTCCCATGGAGCTCCACCGGAAGGGGAGCGACTTCGCCTCTCTATTATGTCAAGTAAGTTAAATAGAAATAAAATAAAATAAAAATATGAAAAACAAAAAGTTAATTAAAACATTAAGACATTTAAAAAAAAAAAATGTACTAATAAAAATGATCACTTTTCCGCTGTCAGTAAAAAAACATGTTTTACTTAATTGTTATGTATAAAATGTTTAATTATCAAAACATTTGTCATGAAAATTCTGAAATGCTGGATATGAAGAATGAGCCATTATGATGACTTTTGGTACATTTAGGAGAAATCTCCAGACAGACGAAGGTAGTCAAACGAACTCCTGGTTGGGACTTCAGATGTTTTCTCTGCACCTGTCTGAGACGTTAAGATACAGACCCTAAAACCTCATGAAAAATGATGTTTAATTATCGTTATTATCCACAGACTCAGAGATCAAGGAGGAGCGTCTGCAGGGAGGAAGCAGCCCGTTTAGTGAACAAGATGAATTATAGAAACCACCAATAAATCCTGAGGCACACACACACACACACACACACACACACACACACACACACACACACACACACACACACACACACACACACACACACACACACACCACACACACACACACACACACACACACACACACACACACACACACACACACACACACACACACACACACAGTCTGCACAGGAACAACACAGACTCTTTTATTCTGCCTTCTTTGAAGCGCGTTGTTTTTAATCATTCTGCGTCTGAAGTTATTTCTGAATCTTATCGGTCGCTTCTACTTGTTTTAAATCTACTTTTAGAGACGTGACATATTTTTTCTGGTTGTTTTTCGTATGTTTTTTGTAATTTCAAATTTTCTTGTTGTGATTTGTTGTCTCTGTAGTAATTTGAACATTGTTTTAAATCTAGTGAAAGCGATTTTACTATTATAGGTTTTGTTTTAGGTCTCTTCGGTGTTGATTAAGTATTTTGGTTTGGCTGATGTTCAGGTTTATATCAGTATGTAGTGTCTCTACTTTAAAGAGTCCTCTCCTGCTGATGTTCAGGTGTATATCAGTATGTAGTGTCTCTACTTTAAAGAGTCCTCTCCTGCTGATGTTCAGGTAATCAGTGTGTAGTGTCTCTACTTTAAAGAGTCCTCTCCTGCTGATGTTCAGGTTTATATCAGTAATGTAGTGTCTCTACTTTAAAGAGTCCTCTCCTGCTGATGTTCAGGTGTATATCAGTATGTAGTGTCTCTACTTTAAAGAGTCCTCTCCTGCTGATGTTCAGGTTTATATCAGTATGTAGTGTCTCTACTTTAAAGAGTCCTCTCCTGCTGATGTTCAGGTGTATATCAGTATGTAGTGTCTCTACTTTAAAGAGTGCTCTCCTGCTGATGTTCAGGTGTATATCAGTATGTAGTGTCTCTACTTTAAAGAGTCCTCTCCTGCTGATGTTCAGGTTTATATCAGTATGTAGTGTCTCTACTTTAAAGAGTGCTCTCCTGCTGATGTTCAGGTGTATATCAGTATGTAGTGTCTCTACTTTAAAGAGTCCTCTCCTGCTGATGTTCAGGTTTATATCAGTATGTAGTGTCTCTACTTAAAGAGTCCTCTCCTGCTGATGTTCAAGGTGTATATCAGTATGTAGTGTCTCTACTTTAAAAGAGTCCTCTCCTGCTAATGTTTCAGGTTATATCAGTATGTAGTGTCTCTACTTTAAAGAGTCCTCTCCTGCTGATGTTCAGGTGTATATCAGTATGTAGTGTCTCTACTTTAAAGAGTCCTCTCCTGCTAATGTTCAGGTTTATATCAGTATGTAGTGTCTCTACTTTAAAGAGTCCTCTCCTGCTGATGTTCAGGTGTATATCAGTATGTAGTGTCTCTACTTTAAAGAGTCCTCTCCTGCTGATGTTCAGGTGTATATCAGTGTGTAGTGGTCTCTACTTTAAAGAGTCCTCTCCTGCTGATGTTCAGGTTTATATCAGTATGTAGTGTCTCTACTTAAAGAGTCCTCTCCTGCGATGTTCAGGTTATATCAGTATTGTAGTGTCTCTACTTTAAAGAGTCCTCTCCTGCTGATGTTCAGGTTTATATCAGTATGTAGTGTCTTCTACTTTAAGAGTCCCTCTCCTGCTGATGTTCAGGGTGTATATCAGTATGTAGTGTCTCTACTTTAAAGAGTGCTCTCCTGCTGATGTTCAGGTGTATATCAGTAGTAGGTCTCTACTTTAAAGAGTCCTCTCCTGCTGATGTTTCAGGTTATATCAGTAGTAGTGTCTCTACTTTAAAGAGTGCTCTCCTGCTGATGTTCAGGTGTATATCAGTATGTAGGTCTCTACTTTAAAGAGTCCTCTCCTGCTGATGTTCAGGGTTTATATCAGTATGTAGTGTCTCTACTTTAAAGAGTCCTCTCCTGCTGATGTTCAGGTGTAATCAGTATGTAGTGTCCTCTACTTTAAAGAGTCCCTCCTGCTGAGGTTTCATATCAGTATGTAGTGTCTCTACTTTAAAGAGTCCTCTCCTGCTGATGTTCAGGTGTATATCAGTATGTGTTCTCTACTTTAAAGAGCCTCTCCTGCTAATGTTCAGGTTATATCAGTATGTAGTGTCTCTACTTTAAAGAGTCCTCTCCTGCTGATGTTCAGGTGTATATCAGTAATGTAGTGTCTCTACTTTAAGAGTCCTCTCCTGCTGATGTTCAGGTGTATATCAGTGTTAGTGTCTCTACTTTAAAGAGTCCTCTCCTGCTGATGTTCAGGTGTATATCAGTATGTAGTGTCTCTACTTTAAAGAGTCCTCTCCTGCTGATGTTCAGGTGTATATCAGTATGTAGTGTCTCTACTTTAAAGAGTCCTCTCCTGCTGATGTTCAGGTGTATCAGTATGTGATGTCTCTACTTTAAAGAGTCCTCTCCTGCTGGTGTTCAGGTGTATCAGTATGTAGTATCTCTACTTTAAAGAGTCCTCTCCTGCTGATGTTCAGGTGTATATCAGTATGTAGTAATCTCTACTTTAAGAGTCCTCTCCTGCTGATGTCAGGTTTATATTAGTATGTAGTCTCTACTTTAAAGAGTCCTCTCCTGCTGATGTTCAGGTGTATATCAGTATGTAGTGTCTCTACTTTAAAGAGTCCTCTCCTGCTGATGTCAGGTGTATATCAGTATGTAGTGTCTCTACTTTAAAGAGTCCTCTCCTGCTGATGTTCAGGTTTATATCAGTATGTAGTGCTCTACTTTAAAGAGTCCTCTCCTGCTGATGTTCAGGTGTATCAGTATGTAGTGTCTACTTTAAAGAGTCCTCTCCTGCTAATGTTCAGGTTTATATCAGTATGTAGTGTCTCTACTTTAAAGAGTCCTCTCCTGCTGATGTTCAGTGTATATCAGTATGTAGTGTCTCTACTTTAAAGAGTCCTCTCCTGCTTGTCAGGTTTATATCAGTATGTAGTGTCTCTACTTTAAAGCGTCCTCTCCTGCTGATGTTCAGGTGTATATCAGTATGTAGTGTCTCTACTTTAAAGAGTCCTCTCCGCTGATGTTCAGGTGTATATCAGTGTGTAGGTCTCTACTTTAAGAGTCCTCTCCTGCTGATGTTCAGGTGTATATCAGTATGTAGTGTCTCTACTTAAAGAGTCCTCTCCTGCTGATGTTCAGGTGTATTGTATATCAGTATGTAGTG